CTCATACTGTCTCCCAGATAAATGTATCCCATTAAAACCCTAAAAATTGGGTGTCAATTATATCATTGGAGTTACAAGAGTATAAATGAAGGGATGAAAATTTCAGCTTTATTTCTGAAGTGGACAAAGTAACCCCAAGTCCTAAACTCCACTGATCTGTGATAGCTGCATCCACTGGGACAATGTCCAAACAAGATTCAGCAGTTATAAAAACCCTGGGTCATAAAAGCCAAGCAAAGAGACCAGGAGATGGCTCACCAGCCTCAAACATCACACTTACAACATGAGAGATGACTTCTGCATGGACCTCCATGCTCAGCCCTGCATCAGGCAATCATACATGACATTTATCCAGCATTTGGCCCAGGTTTCAGAAGGGGTTGGCTCTCACACGGCATCAGCAGCCCAAAGGGGACCATGGCAGCTGTCAGCCAGCCAGCATCCTCAAACACTGTGACTGTGTGAAGGGAGAGGTACTGTCTAGAAATGTTATAGGGGATCAACCATTAGTGTTATTAAGTCTTGCTAAAAGCCTAGCTGTGACTAAGAGCAGTGGGATTTTGTTCAAGTTTTGACTATGTATGCACACCCCCACATTTTAAAGATGTCTGTACAAGTATTCTGAAGAAAACTTTGCCTTCAGATTAAAATCATGTATAAATAATTTCAGCAGTATAAGGAGACACCTGTGTATTTTATTTTCAATATAAACTTTCCCCTCATAAGTGTCTGTTTCTGATCCCATTTCCCATGTTAAAAGGAGCTGAAGGCCAGTGTTGCTAAAATAACAATTGTGGAGAAATCCTAGAGCCACTGGCAGGAATTCAGCAGAGCTCACATGATTCAGTGATGACAACTGGCTTCACAAAGAGCAGGAATTTCTCATCTTGTGAGTGAGCATGATGTAGATGCTAGTTGTGCATTTTTTTATTTTGACACAACTTGGACACATCCATCTCAGGTCCAGCCAGTGAGATTCCTGCAGCCTGGGCTTTCCCACACATGGCAACAGTCCTGTGGCCACGCTCCATGTCAGCACCTGCCAGTGCCAGCCACAGCAGGATGAGGGACCTCCACACTGGGGCAGGGAGAAGACCCCAGCCCACTGCCAGGTCACTCAGTGCAGTCACAGGAGCACAGGAGCAGCAGCAGCTGGAGGGGTTCTGCTTCTGTTTGTGCACAGGTTTCACTAGGAAACCAGCATAAGAAACACCATAGCAGGTGAACCTTCCTCAAGTCCCATGGACCGGGCCAGTGTGAAGGTCATAACTTTCAAGAAGAAATAACTTTTCCCTTTTTTTGCCTTTTACTTAACAAAAACTGTGGCCCATTGTCGAGTCCAGAGCTGCAAAAAAGAGGGGAAAGGTATAATACCTCTATGTGAACATGCTTTTTCTGTCAGTCTGACAATCAGTGTTACTCAATGTCATAGCTCAGAGAGGAGCCAGTGTCGCAAAATCTGTTCTGGGCTCCAGAATATATACTGTAATTGTCCCCTGCTTCCTGTCCTGGTGGTTTCTCATTCCTCATCTCTCTTCCTTGTACCTCCTCATCTCTCATCTCCAGCTGCTAAGGTCAGAGATCCCCAGGATGGGACAATGTCTGTCTCAGGAGAAAGCCAAAATGATGGAAACATCAAGGTGCTTGGAAGAGGAGGAGACCCACAAGTTGTGCCAACCAGCACTGTGGCTGCTCTTCTACCTCCACAGCTTCAGGTTAAACAGCTCCACTCCTCTGGACTCCTGCCTGGAGAGTAGGAGGCTTCAGGCACCTTCTCCTTCTCTACAACCGCCTGTAGTGAGGTGGGGGTCAGTCTCTTCTCCCAGGTAACAAGGAAAAGGATGAGAGGAAACAGCCTCAGGCTGTTCTAGGGGAGCTTTAGGTTGGATATTAGGAAAGATTTCCTCACATTAAGGTTGTCAATCTTTGTAACAGGCAGCCCAGGGGTGAGTCAGCATCCCTGGAAGGATTTAGAAGATGTGTAGATGTGCCGCCGAGGGATCAGGTTTGGCGCTGAACCCGGCGGTGCTGGGTTCATGGCTGAACTCGAGGATCACAGCGGTCGTTTCCAGCCGCAGCAATTCCACGGTTCCACATGCCAGCCTGTTCCCCTGCCCGAACCGCCCCTCAAGCGCTGGGGCAGGGCTCGGGCGGGCGGCAGGAGGCTCGGGCAGCCCCGCTGGGGCTGAGGCGGGTCGGGCCGGGGCCCGCCGAGCCGTGCGGCCGAGCCGAGGAGCCGCACGGGGGCACCACAGGCGGCGGCGCGGCCGGGCGGGCCCGTGAGGGCCGGGGGTGCGCACCCCCACGGCAACACCCCCGGCCCGGAATGCCCCGGAAAGCGCCCCCTGAGTACAAGGGACAGGAAAGGAAAGGCTTTGTTGCTTTTAACTTCAGTATTAAGGGGGTTTTATTTAAAGGTTTGCCCCATGCTGGAAGTGTTCAAGGCAGCGGGGCTGGAGCAGGCTGACCTCGTTGGAGGTGTCTCTGTTCAAGGCAGGGGGGCTGGAAGGAGATGACATTTAAGGTCCCGTCGGACCCAAACCATTCTATGATTCTATTATGCAGCCTTGACCTGACCCCGGTGGCATCACAATTGCAGAGCTGTCCCCAGCTGCAAGGAAAGTCGCCTATTAAAGATATATCGCTTCAGTCTGCCTCTGTGGGTTTTTAGTTTTGTTGCCAATATTTATAAAGCACTTCATTTAACTAATTACCACTGGACTACATCAGTCAGTAGGAGAGATGCGCAACTTGGATAAAGAGGAGCCTGTTTTATTAGCTCCCTCTGAAAAAATTTGGCCATTGCTCAGAGGAAACATGCTAAACTGTACTTTTCTCACCCAAACTATAGGCTAAGAGGCTAGTTAAACTCATAAGGGTCTGACAATGGGACCTCGTAGCATCTTATCTGAGAGACAGAGCTTACTGACTGCCCAGGGATGCAGGACACAGCCAGGGAAAAGGCATCTGCCCTCTCTCAGTGCCACAGCTCCCAACTGCTGCCCAAAAAGCTCACCACACAGTGTATGCCTGTGTCATATTCTGGAGCTGCATGACAGTAATCATTTCCTTATTTTTCTTAACAGAAAAGCACAAAGCATTTTCAAAGGATCTTGGTATTGTAAATCATGCTTCATTTTGGCTTCTTATTAAAAAAAAAAAAAAAGACAAAATGAGTCACTGCAGAACAAATACCACCAGGAAGCCTGCAGAAAGCAGCTCCAGCCTTGCTGGGAGTCAGACAGTTGTACTGGCTCCTGCTGTTCTTTCCTGCAAGAGCAGCTCCAGGCTGATCTCCTCTTACAGGGCACTACAGGTCTGGCCGCTGGGATACAGCAAGACCTACACAACGGATCCCAAAACAGGGGAGAAAATCCCACTGCTACAGCTGAAGATGCAGCCTATGCCCTGAACACTGAGAGGAGACCCCTGCAAGGTCCATTTGTGAATATGTGCATCACTGCAGGCCCCTTTCTTTTTGTGTGGCCTGACATGATCTTATCCCCCCTTTGGAAAAGAAAGACCCTGGAGAAACCTGTCAGGTCTCTCTCAATGGCCAAGCTGCCTCTTCATTTTCTGATCCAGCAGCCCTCCAGTGTGCAGTGTGTCCCCTACGTGGCACACAGTGTGGTGCCATTGACAGCTCCCTTTCCCTACCTCTAGCCATCCCTCCAGCAGCATGTTCAGCTGCCTTTCTGCAAGCCCTGCCCTAAAGGCACCACAGCTGCCAACACACACAGAACACTCTCAGAGTCACCCCTCAATGATCCATACATTTGTGGTTGCTTGGATTAATATCCCATGGCAAGACTCTGATGAGCTGGAACTGGAGCAGGATCGTACCTTACAGAGAAAGGTCATGCTGCAAACCACACAGTCTCTTCCTGTAATTGGCTGTAAATAGTCTACAACTCTTCTCTTTGTGCAGCTTTATCCAAAAATAAAATCCCTTTAGGCTGTGGTAGACCTCACTTTGATGTTCATGGGAACAGCACTCTCAAATTATATGCAGTACATGGCACATGGACTGTACTGTGTAGCAGTTCAAGCCAGTGACACTCTATGTCTTATATTTAAGCACTGAAATATAGTTGAATTTCCTTGGGTAGCATTAAGGTCAGTTTCAGGTTAACTTATCTCTTCCTGTAATCCCATAAAATAAATATTTTTCTGACTCATTTTAAGTTTAGAGTCTCTGAAAATAGTTTTCCTGGAATAGACCTTGTCACTACACTGAAATTCATGTCCCCACATAATTAAGCACACTTTATAAAAAAAAAAAAAAGGTATTTTTAAAAGGCACTGTTAATATATTTTATTAGCCAAGTTGTTACTGAATCAAAATTTTCAATTAATTTAGCAGCATGTTCCTGTTTAACCTTTATTCTGAAGGGTAAATCTGCTTTTCCAGCCTATCAACTCAAACAAATTCCATATTGCTTATAGCAAGCTAAAACACACCCTACAGCTGTCAGATCGTAATAAATCTCATACTTTGGACTTGAAACAAATGACCTAAAGCTAAATGTAAGGAAAACCTTTTTTTTTCTTAAGCAGAAAAGCATACAGAAGGTCAAAAGGTCACCTTCTTGCAATCTGACTACCACATTCCTGGAAGGCAAGGCCAGAGATGAGGTGAACCTTCTACATTCCCCATAAGAGTGAGGGGGGGTCCTTACAACTGGGAGCTTCACAGATTGACAGAAAGACACCTCTGTGTCAGCCATAAAGACAGTGATGAGGAATCTTTCTGTTCCCTTACAGTACAGCCTTGTTTTTCTGTTGCACAGCCACACACCTCGCACCTTCCCATCCATGCTTCCCATGCACAGCCCCAGTGTCACCACCAGCAGTATGCAGATTTCCAAAGAGTTGATCCCCATCATCTCCAGGGGAGAGTGACAGCTCCTCTCTCCCTCCCCTTGGAGCTGGAACACTTTGCTTATCTCCAGGAGAAGTAAGAAGAGAAGAAGGAGGACTTTTGGGGTGGTTAGCCTTACCTAGGGTCTCCTGGCCGGTTTCACAGCGGGGTGCTGGCTTGGTGGCCCTAAGCAGCCCACCGAGGAGGAGCAGGAGCCTCAGGACCATGCTGGAGCCCCTTGCACAGGCAGCACAGTGATGTGGCACTCACTGCCTGATGGAGTGGCTCCTCTGCTGAGCCTCAGCGCGGCTCTGGCTCTCCGAGCTGCAGAGGAAATCAGTGCACTGCAAGGGCATGCCCACGTCTCACAGTGTGTGCAGTCCAGGCGTCAGATTTCAGCTGCATTTGAGCTTGGAAAGCAAAAGGCTTTGAGACAGAGAGGGAGGAGGAATGAGCTCCCCCTCCCCTCTGCCTCCAGACCGTCTCCCTCCTGCAGCCTGGTTTACAATTCCATAAACACTTTGAGCAAGGGGAGATCCCGCAGGGTTGTGCCCTCCCCGGGTCGCTTTGGTCTTCATGCAGCACTTTTCCTAAGGGACGAGGGACATTCATGAATGCGTGTCTCCCTGAAGCCAAGAGAGCTGTCTGGAAAGAGCAGAGGGAAGAGACAGAGAAAAGCAAACAACTGAAAGCAACTTTCCTCAAACTGTGGTATTTCATCACATACTTAACTTCAAGTTTGGAACATAACATGACAGTGAAAGGACTCTGAGCTGCATCCCTCCAGCACACAGAGAATGGGAACACACAGAACAAACACCAGGATCCCCCTCTGCATGCTCCTCCTGGGCATTTTACTCAAGATAAGATTGAGTTGTCTGGAAGGATTCCAGTATTTTCTGTCTATTCTTAAAAAGTAATAATTTCACAAATGTGTAGATAAGACTCCAGGACAGATTTAAACTGGACAGTAAATCTACATTAAGGTGGTAATAAATTGATCTTTTAATTTTCTTGTTTGGTTGGTTTTGGTGGGGTTTTTTTCAGTATATTTTAGAGAAATATGTATTGTATGTTTTTTATTTCTGTGCCACAGGTATGGTAGAGAAGCGTACCTTAATTAAGATGCAAATTTCTCATTTCTTACCTACACAGCAGAAAACATCCCATATCACAGAAAAAGGGAGTTTTGCCTCAAAATCGAGACCAAAACAGACCAAAGCATCCTATCTTTTTCAGGCAGTGCATGCTCCTTTGAGAACAGATACCTGCTTACACAGGAGAGCCGAGAATCCGTCTTTGCAGGCAGAGCATGCTGGCTCCTGCTGCTCAGTATTGGAGATCAGTAGGGAGTTATGGTGCTGTATGATAATGTAATCAAATGAACCCCCCATAGGGAAACCACTAAAGAGGCTGACAGGGCAGGAGAATGCTGTGTGTGTCTCAAAAAGTAATTGATGTCTCATCTCATTTGAAAGGGATGCATTGAGAAGCTCAGCAGTCGAGTATGTCCTCTGCTTCCAGGCTCTGCAAGGCAGGTTAGCTTTTTATCTCCAGGATTTCCTTCTAGTTCTGGAGACTACAGAGTCTGCCCTGTCTAAACTGACTAAACAGTACCAAAGCCTATCAGGGTTCAAAGAACAAACTTCCGAGGACAAGAATACTATTTACCTGCCTTGTTTTTTGTCCTGATCACACAGCAGTATGGATGGACCCTGAAGAAGCAAAAAGTAACAACAAAGCACTGGAAGTGTGGCCTCCAAGGGAAGGAATACTTCTCCTCCTGCCTAGCTCCCCAGCTGACTGCTCCACCAATCTGCCACACTTGTACCTGATGTGCTCAGGTACTGCTGAGGCTGTGTCCCAGCCTGAGGCTTGCTATGTGCCCAGCCTGTGCATTTTGTGTTAAAGGGATAAAAGAAACTGCTCGGAACTAAACAAAGTGATGTGGCTCAATTTTTTACAACAAAAGGCAGAAGAAGTTATACCTACAAGCGGAAGCCGACTCTCGGCCCTTGGAAATGTTCATGTCTGTACTGCAGTTTTCTGCAGCCCTTGAGAGTGTGAGGGGAGATTCTGTCACATACATCCCAATGCTTGTGGTGGTGAACTCTGCTGCAGAGCTGATCCTGTACTATCTATACTCCTGTCAGGTATTCACTTCTTTTTTGTTGGCATGTTTTTCTGCCTGTATTTTCTGTTTCCTACCCTCCAGCCTAGGCACTATGTCCTTGTGAGTGATTTCTCACCTCCACTGCACTTCAGTCACCACTGACAATGTAGATGCCACATACTTTGGGGCCATGTGTTTTAAAATGTGGTCAATGTCATTATTATTGGAATTAGAAGTGAATTCAGACCATGTAGAATTTATGATGGGAAGGAGTAAAGGGAAGGACCAGTGTGGATCAGGGAGGCCAAGAGCAGGAAAATCAGAGGAAGAGATTAAAAGGCATGGCTGTATGCAGGTAGGCTTTCAGCCTGTATGCTTCTCTGAGTCCTGTGCCTAATCACTGAAATCCAGTCTATTTTCATGTTCAGTTCTTAACTTTTCTCCCACTATGCAATCTCCCTCTCTCACCTACGTGTACAAGCTGAATGGTCAAAATGCCAGCAAACTGAGAGACTGAGGTGTAAGCTGCAAGGTCTGGGTGTCAGCCTCTGGAAAGACCAGGAGGGTTTATATTTCCCAAGTGAACACAATCCTGTGTCTGTGTGTGTGCAGGTGTAGGTTGCTAGCAACTTCAGTCTGGATTAGCAGGAAAGTAGGAGAGGATTTACCTGAAAAGACTGGAGGTGTGGTTCAGTGGCTGGGTGAAGGGCCCAGGGTGTAGACATGACCTGAGAGCTTGTGCTGGTGTTTGAGGAGTCTGTGAGTGTGAGCATACCTGTGAACCCAGAGTGGGAGCATGTGTGCTTTCACCAGTGAGCCTCCAAACTGAGCAGCCATAGAATGACAGCAGGACTGGGCTCTGTGCACTTATGTGAGTGCTGGTGGCAAACCAGCTTGTCTGGAATCATGTGTGTGCCCTGGCCACCGTGGGGCTCACCCTCATTTCTATCTGAACTTGCACATCTCCTCATTGCCTGGATGACACCACAAACATCACATCCTTCACAGCCTCCACTGTATCAACTAAATAAAGCTGTCAGTAGCTGGCAAGCTCCAAGCTTCTTTGTTCCTCAGCTTTCACAGACTATTTACATTCAATCAGGGTGTATATTTGATACCAGGATAAAAAAATTACAGCATAAGAAGGATAGATGGAGGCCTAAGAATGACATTCAGGTAATTAAAAACAAAGGTAAATTTATCAGTTTGTCACCACCATCTATAAATTTTTTTGTGCTTTCATGCCCTAAGGTACAGAAAACAGAAGGTCTGGAAGGGTTGGTTATTTCACTTTTAGTTAGATTGCTTGTTCTTTTCCTCCTTTCCAAGGGATTTGATCCCAGGCTTTACAGTCTGTCTTTCTGTGAAGGTTTGGCATGTTTGTCACCAATGGGTTCCCCTGTAGACCTGCACCTTCCTGAAGGGAACAGTAGCTCAGATACTGCTCTTAGCACTTATGCAATATTTCCAGATATCCAGCATCTCTAACTTGTCTGTTTTTTTCAGCCCATTATAAGCAGTTTGCGTATATCATTTGCCCTTCTCATATTTTTGTTGCACAGCTTCATGACCAAAGCTAAAGCTATTAAAAGCACCTAGGAAAAGGATGGTTGGGAATAGAGGGATTTCTTAACCTCCCTATTTTAATTTCTGGGTTTAGTAAATCTTCTCATTTTAGGAAGTTGACAACAAGTTCTGGCTTAGGGTTAAATATGCTACTTTCACCCCAGTTCTAAAAGAATCTTAAAAATGAACCAGTGAATCCCAAACTGTTAAGCAGATGTAACATCACCTGGCTTCCATCATTTGCATTTGAATCAGTACAATAAAGGGAGATAATTTCACTAGCTGCTATTGCTGACGTGTTTTCCTGATCTGACCTTTCTGTTAGCCCACAGTCCACAGTACAGCAGCAATCCAGAAATCCTCAGACTGGACTAAATACCAAAAATGGTTTATGTCCTTGGCAGGTACTCAAAGTGGGATTAAATGCAGTACATTTAACTTGCTTGCATTCTCATGATTCTTACTATTGTAAGAGAAATTTAGCAGAGGACTATCTTAGATTTAGACAGGGTTTCATTACCTGGTTCTTTTTTATTTTGACTCTGCTGAGAGGAGATTGAACATTAAACAGAAGCAGTGTTGTCTAGATAACTTTTCTGAAGGACAAACAGACAGAGACCAGATGAAAATGCTACTTCATGGCTTGTTATTCTCTCCCCTACTAGGTGCTAGTGAAGCTGGCAGAAAGTGTTTGGCAGCACATCACATCTGCTCCAGCACAAAGTCAGCAGCTGTGGTTTTAGGACTTTACAGTGGTTTAAATTAATCCAGGAGATATTTTAATTGCACAGAAGTAACCAATTGCATTCTGTGGGTTTTGTTTAATTTTTTTCCCTTCCTTTTTTCAGTTTCTGCAAAACAGGGCAGAGAAGAGGAACTAGTCTCAGGACAGACAGGGATTAAATCAGCAACTTCCTACAAAGCAGTAGCAATATTTCAAAAATCCAACCCTATTCTACCTGTCCTTGCAAGATCTTATCTCCCTATGAACAGATTGAGCTCCATTAACAGCAGAGAACTGAAAAGGGCTCACAAGGGCTTCTCTTTCAGCTTCTAGATGCTAAGTTAAAAAAGGAAAACAGATTTGTTCTCCAGACAAAGATTTCTAATTCAAATTAACATGCATCTGGATAAGAGAGATGGCTAATTTCCTCTAAAGGTACACAGGCTATTCTGAGCTTTGCACTTAAACAGATGTTTTGGGATGTGTCTCTGTGCCTTCTGGCACCATCTACATTCCACTTGGGGAGGTTTTAACTTTCTCTCTGAGAGTTTTTTCAGTAGTACCTTTTATCTCAGCTTTCAACTTATGACCCACAGGATTAAAAACTTCAGTTTAGAAACTGCCACAAATAAACATTGAGTGCTGGAAATTTGATTGAGAGACTATAAGGAAAAGACCACAAGAACAAGTTCTCTGTTTTCCTACATGCTGTACCCTAAAATTTTAACCTAGAATGGATCAAGGACTGCAACTGCCTACATGTCTCAAATACTTCAAAATTCCCTGTAGCCTCTACCAATTATTTTTCATCATTATTGATCAAGTACATATTTGTACCAATTCACTAAGGGAGAAAGAATAATGCTCCAGTAAA